TGCTGGGACTCGGGAAAACCACCAGGACTCTTCTCCTCCCAAGCCTGGTTTACACACTGTCTTGTCTAGGAAGTTGTTTAAAAACTACAGCACACCCAGTTATTTTTCTTAGAAGAACTGAAGCCCTCATCTTAATGGGCTTTGATGAGCACTCGACATATTATCCAGATCTAGATCAGGGCCGTGGCTGATCATGTCTTGATCCCTGGCAATGGCTGTGCTCAGAAAAATGCAGGAGTTTTGTTTTGTTTTGTTTTAGCTTAGCAGTTTAGCTTAGCAGGGCACTCAAGTAACCCTGACGAAGTCGCATACTCCAGGCAGATGAAAGCCTCGGGTCAGCCCTGCATGCCAGGACGTGCAGGCATGCCAGAACCCATTCCCTGTGGGGTCAGGCAGTCCATAGTGGAACTCCCAGAGAAGGTCCCTGCCATGAGACACCTGGGGACATTTGGAACACATACAAGAAGCCAGGCCAGGGTACGGACAGCTATACCTGGATTTGGGGTGAGGACCAGGGCCTTCACCAGTGCCTTCATCTGCAGGACATGGAAAGAGCCAGACTAAGCATGGTCACTGGGGATAGGAAGAGTGCTCAGAGACAGAGAAAGGACCGTGAGTAAAAGGGGTCTCTGGAGACTGAACAGCACTGCAGTGGGAAAACAGGACACTCTGTGAGGCAAGTGGGAAGGTTCCCGGTTCAAGCCCTGAGACCTTTCTGAGAATGCCAGGATCATGTGTGCCCGTGATCTGGGGCTGACTGAGACTAGGGGTAAAGTACGGCACTGGGACCCTGCTGAGGGTGCTGTCTCTTTGTCTCTGTGTCATGTGTCTCTGTCACTCCAGAAGAAATATACAAACAAACTTGAAAAAATAAGAGGACCTTCTAACGGGCACCGTCTGGAGGGCTGTGACAGCTGTCCATCAGGTCTGGACCCTCAGATCTTTTTTGGAGAGCCAATCATGACCTTTGACACAAAGTTGACAATGGCACTGGCGGGCTGCTCGGGGTCGTGTTCTGCAAACAGGTGGCACACGTTGTCTGTGGCACTGCCCTGTTTCCGGGCCACGAATCCAAAGACTCTGTGAAGGGAAAATCCAGATGAGAACAGCCAGTGTCCTGCAAATCCCTGCACCTGCAGGGCAACTCCTTCCCCTCCAGCTTCTATGACCCAGGAGGAACTCTAACTGCCATCAGCCAAAACTCTACACCAGGTGCCAAGTACCCCTAGGCAACTGAACTCCAGGTGACCTCCAGTCTCACGCACCTGTGGGTCTGGCCTGTGCCTTCTATTCTGCAGGGGAAGAACTGAAGGGTGGAGGGAGGTGTTCTGCTCACAGCCCAGGGCTTGGGCTCCAACCAAACTGAGACTTCACTTGCTTCCCAGCTGCTCCTCGCGCCTGGACCGGAACCATCTGGGCACCTGTCCAAGCGACTCCTAGACTCCCCTCAGTGTTTTGAGCTAGAGTCTGTAAGGGGAGAATGGGGCCACCAGGGCTCACAGAATGATGTGGGATGTGCCTATGCCCTGCCTCAACTGTGATGATCATTCCTGCCGCTGGGACTCGGGAAAACCACCAGGACTCTTCTCCTCCCAAGCCTGGTTTACACACTGTCTTGTCTAGGAAGTTGTTTAAAAACTACAGCACACCCAGTTATTTTTCTTAGAAGAACTGAAGCCCTCATCTTAATGGGCTTTGATGAGCACTCGACATATTATCCAGATCTAGATCAGGGCCGTGGCTGATCATGTCTTGATCCCTGGCAATGGCTGTGCTCAGAAAAATGCAGGAGTTTTGTTTTGTTTTGTTTTAGCTTAGCAGTTTAGCTTAGCAGGGCACTCAAGTAACCCTGACGAAGTCGCATACTCCAGGCAGATGAAAGCCTCGGGTCAGTTTTGTTTTGTTTTGTTTTAGCTTAGCAGTTTAGCTTAGCAGGGCACTCAAGTAACCCTGACGAAGTCGCATACTCCAGGCAGATGAAAGCCTCGGGTCAGCCCTGCATGCCAGGACGTGCAGGCATGCCAGAACCCATTCCCTGTGGGGTCAGGCTCTCTGAGTACCTAGTGGAAATCCCAGAGAAGGTTCCTGCCATGAGACACCTGGGGACATTTGGAACACATACAAGAAGCCAGGCCAGGGTACGGACAGCTATACCTGGATTTGGGGTGAGGACCAGGGCCTTCACCTGCAGGGCAGGGGAGGACCAGTGCCTTCATCTGCAGGACATGGAAAGAGCCAGACTAAGCATGGTCACTGGGGATAGGAAGAGTGCTCAGAGACAGAGAAAGGACCGTGAGTAAAAGGGGTCTCTGGAGACTGAACAGCACTGCAGTGGGAAAACAGGACACTCTGTGAGGCAAGTGGGAAGGTTCCCGGTTCAAGCCCTGAGACCTTTCTGAGAATGCCAGGATCATGTGTGCCCATGATCTGGGGCTGACTGAGACTAGGGGTAAAGTACGGCACTGGGACCCTGCTGAGGGTGCTGTCTCTTTGTCTCTGTGTCATGTGTCTCTGTCACTCCAGAAGAAATATACAAACAAACTTGAAAAAATAAGAGGACCTTCTAACGGGTACTGTCTGCAGCAGAGTGAGGGTGTGGGAACACCTGGCATCTGGTGAAGGGCAGCACCCACTCCATCTGCACTCACCACACACAAAGTTTGCCCTTTTTGCTCAAGGGCCTCAGCTTACTGGAATGACCAAGAAGACTGAGCAGTCCATCCCCTGCACGGATCCACAATGTCAGACCTCCTGTGAGCACCACACACCTGGCCCATGGCCAGCCCAAAGGGGGTGCCTCCCTCCAGGACCCTCCCAACATAACAAGGACACAGTCATTTTCTCTATTCTTTTTGAAAGCAAAAAAACAACGCCACTGACATGAGTCAGCTGTTTTCCTACAAGGAGCCCTGTTTGGAAACCTGGAACAGAATCCAACTTTGCATCATAGCTACAAATGGAGACAGAGCAGAAATCCTGGCCACTTACTTTGAGGAAGGGTTATCTTTGATCCACCTGAAGAATCAAAGAGAAAAAGAGTTACGTTAACTTTAAAAACTAAAGGGTAAAAGCAAAAACAGTACACCAAAAAAATGTGGATTTCTTACTTCCTGTCTTGTGGGTCTAAGGCACAGAAAATTACGCTGTTCACGGGGTAATGCCTCCGGAAGAAGAGCCTGTGGACACAGAGAGCGGGCCTGTTACTGCAGAGCTGGAGGGTACACCTGGGTAGGTTCCCAGGGGCGGCAATTATTCTACACTTGTACTCAGATTTGGAAATAACAGTCTATGCTCTGGCAAGGTCAGCAGATGACACGAATGTGGAAAGAACCTGTCCTCAACTAGTGACAAAAAGCCTCACACAGAGGGGAATTGTCAGCCATGCTGAAGGCCCCCTGCCTGCCCATGTCCACTGAGGGCTGAGAGACATCCTGCCCCTGCCCTGTGTCCACCGTGGGCTAAGTGCCTCCCTGCTCCTGTCCGTGTGCACCGTGGGCTGAGAGTCACCCTGCCCTACCCCTGCTCCCATGCCCACCGTGATCTGAGTGCCACCCTGTCTCTGTCCCATGTCCACCATGGGCTGAGTATTGGCCTGATCTTGCTCTGTGTCCACTGTGGGCTAAGCCTATCCTGCCCCTGCCGTATGTCCACTGTGGGCTGAGTCTTCCGTATCCCTTCCCCATGCCTCCCCACCATGGCCAAGCTCTCTCCCTTCCCTTGAGTCTATGTTCCAGCAGAGCTCACCCGGCCACTCCCCCGGAGCCCACTGAATTGTGCAGGGCTCTTCTCATTCTTGTCAAATCCCGAGTAGCTGTTTGGGGACACATCTGGAAGATAAGTATACCAAGTGCCATGTGGCTAAGGACTTTGCCCAGGGTCATCGCTGGTGAGTGTTCAGGAGGGACATCCCTGAACTCAGATCTGACCAGCCAGGCAGAGTCCTGTCCCAGGCTCCTTTTCTTCTCTGGTAAAGGGTTAGGAGCCAACTCGCCTAAACTGCCTTCATCCTAAAGCAAGGGACTGAAGAGTCTGCCTTCGATAGTCAGTCTAGCCAGTTTGCACACAGAAAGCAGGAGCCGGCTTCATGGGCTCTGAGCAGGCGAGCATGGAGGAGTGAGGCCATGGAAGCATGGTGCCCGGGGCTCAGCTGGTCTGGGCCATGTCCTTAGGACTCAGTCTTGCTGATTCCATCGCTGATCACCTGACCTGCCAGGGGAATCAGACAAGGCTGCCTCCATAACAAATGTGCAATAATTAGACCTGAAGCGCCTCTGATCCTGGGTAGCAGGACTGCAAGGGAGGCAGTCTGGGGGGCTAGCAGAAGTTCTTGAGCCATGACTGCTCCGCTCTACTGGGCTAGGTGTTTGGTAAATGTTGTAGGTGGAACAGCTGTTCGGCGTGACTGACTCAGCTCTGACCAAAGTTATAGGAAATGGGCCAAAGGGAAAACAGGGATAAAGGTCATATTCCCACCTAAAATGAGATAACAGCAGATGGTGTAGTGGTTATATCACTGGATTCCCACATGGCTGACTGTGGTTTGAGTCCTGGGCCTGGTGGCTTGAAAATCTCACTGGGCATGTGTCCATGAGTGCCCAAGATCTCAGGAGAAGAATGGAAGAGAAGGGATTGTGTGGCCACCCCCCTTGGGGGGGTGATCTCTCACATTTCCTCTCATTGTCTTGTCTGTGTGTGTGTGTGTGTGTGTGTGTGTGTGTGTGTGTGTGTGTGGTGAGCATATGTGCCCTATGGCAAAAAACTCAACAAAAATTTTTAAAAAGAAAACAAATAATGATGCTGATGGGCCAGCAAGTAGTGTGGTGGCTAAGGCACTGGATCCCACATGGCCAACTCTGCAGTTCAAGTCCTGTCCCTGGCACTCTGTAAAACATGCTGGGCACATGTGTGTGCATCCCCAAAATCCTAAGCAGAGGATGGAGACAAAAGGACGGAGGTGTGACCATCCTCCTTGGGGATTGATTTCTCACTTTTCCACTCTCTCTGTCTCTGTATGTCTCTCTCTAGTGAGCACTCACATCCTATGGCAAAAAAAAATCTGATAATAATAATTTGGGGCACGCATGCACATGTGTCTGGCATGATTTTCAAGCCACCACATCAGGACTCCAAGACTTGAACAGCAGTTGGCCACATGGGAGTCCAGACCCTTAACCACCATGCCACCTGCTGACTCCTCACATACATGTTATACACATAGCTGGGAGGTAACTTTTATACTATATATATATATATATATTTTAGAGAGATTGGTTTTTGCTATTGGGCACATGCACTCGACAGAAAGATAGAGAAAGAGAGACAGAGAGACTGAAACTGAGAAATCACCCCACAGGGGGATGACCATGCCACAAGCCCTTCTCCTCCATTTTCTTCTTTGGATCTTGGACACACACGCACACACACGTTCCTGGTGTGAGTTTAAGCTGCCAGGTCCGGGACTCAGATCACAGTCAACTACATAGGAATCCAGCAACATAATCATTATAACATCTGCTGGTCCTATACAATATTTTTAATAATTTTGTGCATAAAACAAAGCTCATGCCCACTGAATCATCAGAAAGCAAGAGCTGTCTCTCTCAGCCACCATGGGGATGGTCTGTGCTGGCTCAGCACCACCAACACCCTCGACTCTCCATTTATCACAGTCTTATACTTACTCACTCACAGGTAAGTAACACAGGCCATGTGACACACCACTCTCACAGGGAAAACTGACGTGCTTGGGCACCTGCAGCCCCCAGCAGCACCAGAGTTCTTGCATCAGCTGCTCGACAACAGCCATAGCAAACATGGCCCCCAGGGCGCTGTGTTCCAATTAAAGTTTACCTTTCACTGTGTCTTATTTTTTTAGGTGAGAAGAAACATCAGAAGGGAGCTGGGAGGGTCCTTTTTTCCTTAGGGACACCCAGGAAACTATGCTGCACCTCCTGTTTGACTGCAACTTTTTGCACAAAGTCAGGTGTAGAATTTTCCACTGTGGTGTCACATTGGCACTCAAAAAGGTTTGGATTTTGTAACATTTTTTATTATGAATTTTCAGAAAAGGAATGCTCAACCTGTAATAACCTCCAAAATCGCTCATGTTTACCTGGGTGAGCACTCATGCAGAGAAGAGTGAGAAGGAATTCATCTTTCCCACTGTGACTGCAAGCTTGGCCCTGCTGGACAGCCCTCCCCTGCCTCCCACCAGGCACTCACTTCCTCTGGTTGTCCGTCAGGGTGATCCCCTGGGCTGACACCTTGAAATGCACGACTGTGGACACGGGGGGCGGCTCCTGGACCAGAGTCATGCTCAGGGCCTTCTGGACTGCTTGGTGTCCGGTGAGAGACTCCATCTCCACAGAGTTCAAGTACCACACGTTGCAGGCTGCAAAACACCAAGGGGGACGAGTGTTAGCTGCCACTTGTAGGAAACACGAGCATCCTGTATACACACAAGCAACACCGACATGTAGATTTGGGGTTTATGAATGACCCCCATGAGGGGCCTGGCCGAGGTGCATGTAAAGGCAAACATCTTTTGCCCCTAATTCATGGAGAAGGAATGGCTTAAAGACATCCTGGCTACATGGTCCAGACAAAGAATAATAAAGTTATTGGATCAAAGCAGCCTCCATCCAACATTCCCTTGCTAGCTGAGGGAAAATTCCATTTGTCCTGCTGCAGAACTAAAACTTAGAGTCCCAGGTGGGGCTATGGCACCCACTCTGCCCTCAGTGTGGGCCTGGCCAATGGTCACAGTAGCACAATAGCCCAGCAACAGTTACAGGGAAGGAGGGCCTAAGGTTGTTTGAGAAACGTGAGAGGAGTATGTGTCCTGGACCCCAGTGAACTGCCTTGCATGGGGTGCTGAAAGGGTGGGCATCCAAAAAGGGGCGCTAGGTGACTGCCTGGCTCGTGGTGAGCTCAGAGTGCACCTGACAGGGACAGACGTGTACAGCCAGCCTTGCCTGTGTCCCAGCTCTCTCCATGCTGCCAGGAAAGGGCCCAGAAAGGGCTTCCATAGGAGCTGGTCCGGGCTGGGAGGGCCAGCTGTTCTCCCATGAGGAAATCACACCTGTGTGAAGACAGAGCAGAGCCCATTCCGGCCAGGGACCAGAAGGCTCTGCCCTGAGAGTCTCTGCATGTGAATGTGGGGGTGTCCTAATGCTGTGAGTTTCACTCAATAGAAAAACAAACTCGCCCAATCCTTAGCAACTGCACTGGAGGGCAGTTGGTGCTGCTGGCTGTTTCCTCAGGGGTAAGCGCAGGGGCTTGGAGGATGAGCAGCCTGGGCAAGCACAGGGCCACAAACGCACTGTGGCAATCCTCTCCCCAGCCGAAGCTCTAAGGCAGAGCTGGCTTCCTCTTTCTTAATTTTGCCAGAGCAAATTTGATAGAGAGAGAAAGAAAATGAGAAAGCACCCGCCATGGGCACTGATCACGCTGCAGTCCCTCCTCCATCTCTTTCCTGTTGGGAGGGATTTTGGATGTGCACATGTGACCATTGTGTTTCTCAAGCCACTGTGTCTGGGACTCGTACCATATGGTCAGCCGTGAGGGTGCCCTAGGTCCCTCCACCGCCGTACCAGCTGCTCCCTCACAGCCAGTTTTGAAAGCTGGATATGTTCTAGGGATTTGGGAACACCTTTTTTCATGGAGCACAGGGAGAAACTGTAACAGGGAAGGAAAACAGGGAAGGGGGGGTGTCCCCAGATAGGCTAGCCCAAAAAAGTAAGCGGCTTTCTCCACCCAGAGGTAACAGGGCCAGAGGCAAGTTAGAACAGGAAGGCATCTGGAAGGGCCATCTGCAAGAGAGGCCACAGAGGCTGGACTTCTTTAGCCTAAAAGCCCAGGACAAGTCACTCTTGCATCTTTGAATCACCAGGGCTCCCCCTAACTCCCTGAAAATAATGTTATTTCATCTGCAGTACAATTCCCTTTTATTACATTCAGTTCACGTTACCTATTTTCACTCTTGTAATTATTACTTTTTGTTACGTAAAAGTCAAAAAAAGGTTTCTACATGCATTGTTGGGTTCGTTAAAAATGTTCACACACTGGGCCAGCAGGTAGCGTGGTGGTTAAGGTGCAGGACTCCCACATGACCAACTGCGATTCCAGTCTTGGAATCACACCTTGGGACCAGCAGAAGGCATCATGGTTATGTCACTGGACTCCCACATGGTGGACCATGGTTTGAGTCACGGACCCTGTGGCTTGAAAATCACGCCAGGTGCTGTGTGTGCGTGCCCAAGATCCCAGGAGGAGAATGGAGGTGAAGGAGTTGTGGCATGGCTATCTCCCCAGGGGGCTGATTTCTCACTGTCCCTCTCATTGTCTCTGTCTCTCTTTCTCTCTGGCAACCACAAGTGCCCTAAGGTAAAATCCTTTTTTTAAAAAAATCATGCTGGACACGTGTGTGTGTACCCAAAATGCTGAGAGGAAAATGGGGAAGACAGGGCCGTGTGGCCATCCACCCTGGAGGCTTGATCATATTCCCTGTCTCTGTCTCTCTGTAGCAAGTGCACATACCCCATGCGAAGAAACTAAAAGAAAAGAAAAAAATTTTTTTCACACAAACCACATTCCCCAGGCCCTCATGAGCTCGTAATTCCCGTTACTGGCCAAGTCTGTACCACAGCGATCGCCCATGCTCAGTGCCCACAGAGGGTAGATGAGGCAGGCGCCTGTGGAAACCCCAGTGCAACCTGGGCCAGCCATCGCAGTGGTAACTGGGCCACATTTATTAGGACCAGAAACTCCTAAAAGCACTCCTAAGTTGGTTCAGAAAGAAACACTCCCTAGCCACGTGAGACAACCAACCTACAGAGGAAGATACCATGCTGCATATCCATGTCGGTGGGAAAACCTAGGACCAGATCAAGCCCCCAGACAGGAGCCGGGTAAAATGAGTTCCCTCAATGGAGCACCACACAGCCAGCAAATGGTAATTGTGAAAATTATATAGCGACAAGGAAAAAATGTTGCTAGCAGTTAATTGAAGAAGCAGAAAAAGAACTGTCCCGCTATGATTATGATGATAAAATAAAAAGCATGTGTGCTACCAACAGGAGTTGGAAACATGCCTGGAAAATGCAGAGCAGTTGGATTTGGAAGGGTGAATACGCTGCCTTTGATGTCAGTGTGGCAGCTGTGAGGCATCACGTAGCTACAAAAGCGCAAACGAGGGAATTCAGATTTAACTACCAAGAACATTCCAGAGTGGGCGCAGCCCAGGTCAGTTTCACTTGGGCCTCCGGGCTGCCACAACCTATGGTACCTTGGTCGGCTGGCTTCATGTGGTGAGGAGCCGGTGGCCTGAACTCGGGGAGTTTGGGGTTTGGATAGTACCCTTCCCAAATACAGAGGCTCGGTTGCCATTTCTCCAGTAGAGAAGGCAATGCTGCCACTTTTCACTCACGCCTGGAGAGACGGTCCAATGGGGACATGCTCCTTGTCCATACCACAATCCCCCCAGCCTGACTCTCTCCAGCACAGAGCAGCTGGGGCGATAAGGCCAATGCTCTGGTGGCTCAATAGAGGCCTGGCCCAAGAACTCTGCTCTTGGCCATTCACTCCTGGGTAAGGATGCAGAATGTGTGGGGATGCCTAGAGAGACATTCAACAGGAATGCATCCAGTAGACCCACAGCACAGGGCTCTGTAAACTGAGGCTACTGGATGATTCAGGCCTCAAGTTGTAGGTCTATGCATTTGAACCCAAAGTATCACTTTGGGACTTGGTCTTACAGCAATAATCCAAAATTCTGCAAAAAGAAAGTATGCAAAAAGACAGTCCTTTAAAGCCAACCCCATGGCCTGGTAGTTAAGATAGCCAGATCCCATATGGCCAAATCCCAGTGTGGTTCAAATCCCAGCTCCAGAAGCTTCAAAAACATGTGAGGTGTGTGGGGGTGCGTGTGTGTGGGTACGTGCATACATGCCCCAAATCCTGACAAGATGGAAAAGTGGATGAAAGGGATTACACCATGACCATGCCCTCTGTGGGGTGGGGATGCTTTCTCCCTCTTCCTCTTTCTCGGTTGCACACAAAGTCTCTTGAGAAATTTCTTTTAAAAGGTGAAAGAAAGGAAAGTTGGAGGGAAGGAAGGAAGAAAAGAAGGCCCTTTAATCATTGTTTCCAGTATGGAAAAAGTCGAAACACGCTAAGTGAACAGCCATGGAGAGGTGAATTACACAGTGGATCACTATACAGTCATTAAACGAGAGGCCTGTGAGGTTTGTAAAAAACCACGAGCAAACTCATTGTGCTAAGTGAGAAAAGGGACACAGAAGAGTTTTACACGTAGCAGCATGATCCCAAGGACAGGCAAAGGTAATACATGACAGGTCAGGTTAACATCAGGAATGATCCCTGAGTGCGAGAACATTGTGCCATGTCTAACTTTTCGACATGGCATATTTGACAGTTGTATAGGAGTAACAGGTCTGTGAGTTATCCATTGTTTCCTATCGTTCCTGTATCTCTTTTCTTTTCTTTTCTTTCTTTTCCTTTTCTTTTCTCTCTTTTCTTTCTTTCTTTATTTTTTTTAATTAGAGAAAACACAGGAATTGGGGAGAGATAGAAAGAGTTAGGTATCAGGGCCAGCAGGTGGTGTAGTGGTTAAGGCACTAGACTACCACATGTATGAGCACAGTTTGAGTCTTGGACCTGGTGGCTCAAAACTCATACCTGGCATGTGTGCATGTATGCCCAAAATCCTGAGAGGAGAATGGAGGGAAAGGAATTGTGGTATGGCCAGCCTCCCTGAAAGCAATTTCTCACTTTCTCTCTCTCTGTCTCTCTGGAGAGTGCATGCAACCTAATTTAAAAATGTATCCAAAAAAAAGAGAAAGAGGTTGGTATTTTTGACAGGGTTCCACCATGTCGCAATCCTCCTGCCCTACTCTTCAAGTTAGTTAGGACTGTAGGCATGCACCACTGCACCTGGCCTATTTAGCTGAGTAGGGAATTGAACCCAGGCCTCCCATGCAGCCTCAGCCATCACACAGCGGCACCCTCCCAGTTGCACCACCATGGCTGGACCATGTACTTCCCTTTGTTTGAACTTCAAATACACAGATACCCTTCTTAAAGAGACAATACTTTACAGTATGCTAAATTAAAACCTACAACCACAACACACTCAATGCAAATCTACCAGAAGCTGGGGAAAATGTGCCTTTCTTTTGGGATTATACTGCATTCCTCTGTTTCAATGAGAAACAATTAAGATCTGAAGCTTAAGGCACAAATAGAAATTGTTTCAGAGATTAGAACGAAGTCATTACGGCCTTTGAATCAGATGAGAAGGGATTAAACCGAACGGAATTACAAGTTTACTCCCATAGCTGAAGTTGCCTGACTCTACTAACATTCGTTTAT